GTTGCCACGTAAAGGCGGGCCCGCAGAAAGTAAATTGACAGATCCAACAGACCAGAAAGAAAACACATGCAACCTCTGCAAAAGAGATTGTCACTTTCGCATCGGCCTCTACAGTCACAGACGTCGGTGCTTCAGCGAAACAGACGACTTGGATGCTAACCATGGTCAACCTTGACCGACGGAGGCCTACACACATGAATAATAATATTAATTTTAAATATTAATAAAATAAAATAGTAATATATTAATACAAATTGATTAATATAGTAATAGACACCATATTGAGAAATGGGTTGATCTTCGACTATCATTGGTATTGATGGAACCGAATATAAAAATAAAAACTTGCAGAGCAGCATCAATCACAGGGATCTCATTAAATATATCTTCACTTTTTAAAATTTATTAATTACACACATATTTCAAAATGGTTTAGGAGTTATTTTACTAGTGTTACTAGTGTTAAATGTTCCATAGAATTTACTTGTTAAATACAAGTTTATTTTCATTAAATTAGTTTTACTTCACAATAAAGTGTCGACAGGATACGACATAATATTATTTCGCCAATTATTCTGAGCGTTTTTCTAATATCTTTGTCGTTAATACATCATTCAATAGATTTTATCTGTCACATAGTCGGTTCACTAGGATTAAAATGGCACTCCCATTAAATCTTTTTTTTTTTTTTTTTTGATAAAGGCAATCAGGAAACCAGCAGTATTTAAAACAAAACTTATCAACGGAGAGATGAACATCTATTTAGCAAAAAATCCTATTTCTATAATAAAATTCCTAAACTTATCTATTAGTAAAAATAGGTACCTCCACGAAATTGCTACAAAAAACATATAGCATGAAAAAAAACGATGTAATAAATTTTTATCGGCTTAAATATATATATCATTCTTAAGAAGAAACACCAAAGTATTTTTTGATTATTTTTAAAAGTTTTTTACTCATTCTTATCAGGTCCGAAATTTTATTTAAAAATGTTGTTTATTTCTGTCATCAAAATTACTTAAAAAAAGTAGCTATCAGCCATTTTTTCTAATTTTGTAAACAAGTTAAAATCCTCGTTTATTTTGGTATAATTATACAAAAATCAATTCTACGTTTTTCAAAATTTATTTGACTAAAATTAGCAAATTTAAAGATTAGTTAAAATATTTTGAAAAGAAGCTTTTACTTACTTTTTTTCGAATAAAAAATTGTTCGAAATAAAAAAGTAAGCGATCTGAACTGTGTTGTCATTTCTCGAGTGACAAGTGATACCTGTCATCACATATCGACAGCTAACGTGAGATTCGCGTTATCATACAGATGGTCATACGTGACGTAACGTTTTTTTTTTTTTTTGTGAATCAGCTTATGTACTACCCCGTAATTAGTAGATAATAAAAACAAAAATTAGCATTCCAATTTCCTTTATTTTGTTATTTTATTATTACTGGAACTTAAAACATAACTTTGTTGATACTATCTATTGTTACGAGGATGCATTTCTATAATAAAAAGATTCCTTTGAGTTCTACTTGTTATTACAAAAAAAGTTTCACTCATGAAGTAGTTGTAAAATAGAGAAATTAGAAATAGAATGTTTGGAAGATTCTAGATCATTCTAGTATATTCGAGAAAAAAATTTAGAAATATGCAAATTAGGTGTTAGCCCCATTTTGGAAAAGGGTTGTCAATGCTGTCAGTATCAACTCCGGCTTTTGATTCAAGGACTATTATATCCAGCCGAAAGAATCTCTATAAAAAGTTGCCGACCAACCAAAACCCAAAAGAGAATTTCATGGAACAAAGTTGGTAAATAGAATTTTGACTAATTTTCATTGACCAAACTAAAAATTAATATTTATTTACACACCTTTGTGAATTTCCAAATATAGCACTTAACTTCACTAGCCCTAAAGTGATAAAGATATTTGATTCCCTTTCCTTCTTCCTCGTAACACTCCGCCAGTAACTCTTTGTTTTCTGTTTTGTAGGCCACAATTGTTTATCCTGTATATATTTTATGTTCTGTTTTAGTAAATTAAATATTTGTTTGTGATTTAGCTCTGTGTTGTGGTAAATCATTTTTTTTTCCTTTGTTACAATTATCAACACGTAACACTAGAGATAATAAATACTATAAATAATGAAATCTACGCTTACACTCAAGCCACGTGACCTTCCGTACTTTTTAATGACAACCCATTTAAGCGCTTTTTATCAAAACATAATTACATTTTTTCATTAGTGGGTGTCATCGGATGGGTCCAAATTATACAATTTTCAAATCCCTAGACAATGACGAGCTAAGAATGAGAAGTACAAAAGGTTGATGGTGCTGTTATTTATTTTATAATTTTTTTTTAAGTGTAATGAAAAAGTGTTAAAATTTCGATTTAAAATTAAAGAAATGAGAAATAATTGTATTAAAATTCAATTTTCATTGAAAATTTTTTTGCTTTCAGAAAATATTGTCCATATTCATACGAACAAATAAAAACAAATAAAAGCGTTTGAGATTAAATAGTATATTTGTTTTTATTGAGTTTTGTATGTTACAATTCAGAGCTGATTTTCAGGTACTGAGTTTCTTAAAAAAAAACAAAATATGATTTACATTCTTCAAAGCCTTGTGCTTTAAATATTGTAATCACTAAAACCGATGGTATGGAATTTTTTTGAGTTTTTCATAAAATTAGATATGGGGTGTTAATAAAAATAAAAAAAAATATTTCTGCCATGACTTTAATAAAAAAAATATTCATAATAATTTCGATCATTTGTGAATATTTTCTGAAAGTTTCATTAACATCTGACAATTATTTTTATTTTTACAAAATTTTCCAAATTAATAGGTATAATACCAAAAAACGCGCTAAAATTTATCTATGTTATTTACCTCCCTTTGTTGCGAAAAAAAGATAAACAAGGTTTTTAAATCAAAATTTAGAATATTCTAAAAATATGGAAAAATTTTGAAAAATAATAAAAAAAAAATTTGGTCTATCCTCTTCATAAAAACATAAGCATTTTGACGATAAAATTTTGTTTTCGTCAATTTTGGCGTCTTTTTCATCAGACTATGCTCTATTTTTTCGCAATTTCGTGGAGGTACCTAAGTAAAAAATATAAAATAAGCTTTTTTTTTTCATCGAATGTTTATGGGGGTCCACCAAAATTAAATTAAGAGTAAAAGTGATCCAGGGTTAAAAAAAGGGGGGTTGAGAAACACTAATTGAAGTGTGAGTAAGTCCGATAACTTTTGAGAAATAAACGGAGCAAGATCGATATGTCAATATATCTGTCGCAACCTTCAATGGTTCGCACCTTAAAAAAAAACTAACAGACAAAACGACATTGACATTCGCAACCCTATACTCGCTGAATGAAAAATCAGTAGTAAGCGAGTAACTAAATGAAGAACTCAGTGTTTGAAGCCCAAACCACACAAACTGTGAAAATATTATAATAATATATTAGAATCCAAAAGTTTTTTATAATCAGAATTATTTCCCGAACAATTTGATAAGTTAAATTCTAAAAGAGTCTGTTATAAAATTAAGGAAGAGGACACTTTAAACTTTAGTAATAAGTAATATATATCTGTGCAATTAATATGATAATATATTGGAACACAAATGACTGAAATAGACTGTTATAAAATTAAGAGGACACTTAAAACATAGGGAATAAGTAATATATTCTTGTGCAATTATTTCAAAAATATATTAGGACACAAAAGATTTATTCTAAAATCGGACATTATTGTCTGAACAACATAATAATCAAATTCTGAAAGAGATTGTTATAAAATTTAAGAAAGAGGACACTTAAAACATAGGAAATAAGTAATATATTATTGTGCAATTATTTTAATAATATATTAGAACACAAAATATTTATTCTAAAATCGGAAATTATTTTTCTAACAACCTTATATCTTAATATGGCATGACTCTTTCGCATTCAAGGTCGAATTGTTTATGCTTCGTCATATAATCTTTTATTTATGACATTTGATGACCTCAGTTCAAATCAAAATAAGTTCGAAAATAGAACCACAAAACACAGAGGATCACAGAAAGATTTTTATCATTGTTCATTTTTATTGTCACCGAATTGATCCCTGAAAAAAAAAAACAAAGGTAGGTAAAAATGTTGGTCAAATACTGAAAGAAGCGAGATAGTATTTTTTTAAGAATTTTACATAGACTTTTACTGCAACAGAGTAAGACGGAAAGTAGCAATATTCTAAAGCCGACGAAAGTTGGCAGATGCGATCAACTCGAAAGAAAATGGAGGTTGTGCTGAGAGGCAAAGATGCTGTGACAATAAAAAAAAAAAAAGGAAAGAGATCAGCACTAGAAATAGAGAGAGATAAAAGAAAGAATTGGCTAAAGATGATTAATAACAATAAAAATACGTAATGTAAGAGAAGGAAGTAATAAATAAAAAGGGAAAATATGGCTGTCAATGTAAAAAAAAAACTGTGAGCGTTTGAAAGAATCAAGGGAGATAACCTGGGAATGGTAATGTAAGGAAAAAAAGCAAATTTTTAGGAAAAACGGAAAGTTTTTGTTTTTTGCTATTTTTTGCTGTGATTTAGGGAGGATATAAGGGGAAAATGTGAATATATGGCGTTATTTCGTTCTAGCATACGACAATGACGTGAGGCAACACGCTATCTATAACAAGGACATCCTTTACATTTGCCCACCTTTATCTTCTGCACCCCCTTGAGTTAAATCCACGGAGAGAATCAGTGAAATACGTACACATCCATGCAGAAGTAATTCACAATCTGATATATTATTAGACGCGCATTAGAAGAAACTCCGAAAAGAAATCATGAATATGGCATTCTGGCGCATCTGTAGTTACATGGGTCATGTTGTATTGTTGGTATGGATATTATTATATTTAGTGCATAGAAACATTATTTTTTTATTTTATTTCAGGAATTGTACTTATTTATATTTACTGGATACTCATTGGTATTTTTATGATAAAGGGGGAGTATCAAAATGTCGGAAGAACGAAAGAAACAGACTGAAAGAAACATACAATACAATAATGGGAAACGTGTGAAAGAAAGAAAGAAAGAAAGAAAAAAAGAAAGGAAAAAAAAAAGCAAGCAAGAAAGAAGGAAAGAAAGAATGGAAAAAATGGGAACAGAATAAAGAAAAAGACGTGTGGAAAGAAAAAAAATAAATGGAAAACGTAAAAAAAATAAAATAAAATGTCAAAGAAGATGGGAAAGAAAGAAAGAAAGAGAGAAAGAAAGAAAGAAAAAGCAAGCAAGAAAGAAAGAAAGAGAGAAAGAAAGAAAGAAAGAAAGAAAGAAAGAAAGAAAGAAAGAAATGGAAAAGATAAGAACGGAATAAAGAAAAATGTCGAACGGAAGTAAAAAAAACAAATGGAAAAGTTAATGGAGAATAAGGGAAAGAAAAAATGAAACAAAGAGGTAAAAATAAGAACGGAAGAAAGAAAGAAAGAAAGAAAGAAGAGAAAGGCAAATAAAAACAAATGGAAAAGGTAAAAAGGGAATAAATAGTGAAAGATAATGGTAAGAAAGAAAGAAAGAAAGAAAGAAAGAAATTAAAAAGTAAAAAATGGCTAAAATCGAACGGAAATAAAAACAAATTGAAAAAGTAAAAGGGAATAAATAGGAAAAGAAAGAAAGAAAGAAAGAAAGAAAGAAAGAAATGTAAAAGATGAGAACGGAATAAAGAAAGAAAGAAGAACGGAAATAAAAATGAATAAATAAGTGGAAAACGTAAAAAAGGAAAAAGGAGAAAAAAGACCTGAAAGAAAGTAAGAAAAATAAAGAAAGAAATGGAACAGATAAAAAATGAATAAAAAAAAGAAAGAAATGGAAAAAGAAAGAAATGAATAAAGAGAAAAATAAGAAAGTAATGGATGAAGAAGAAAGAAAGAATTAATAAAGAAAAAAGAAACAAATGAAAAAAATGAATGTGACACATTTTTAAATAAACGTATAAATAAACAAAAAAGAAAATAATTAGTGAATGAAAGAAAGAAACAGAAAACAGGAAGAAAAATTAGAAAAAATTAAACATCAGAATGAAGCAAAGAAGAAAAACTTGCAAAATGTGGGAAGACAGGAAAAAAAAATCTGACATAAAAAAATGAGAAAGAACAAAAACAGGGGAAATCATAAAAACGAAATAAAGGAAAAAATAAAATGACAAAAAAAAATCAATTAAAAAGTTACTGAGAAAAGGACGAAAGAATATATCAAGTAAAAAAGAAAAGAAAGGAAGAGAGTAAAGAAAGAAAACTATATAAAAAAAACGAAGGAAAGGAAAAAGTAAAGTAGCAAGAAACAGTTGAAGATTGACTTAAAAAATAACGAAAGAATGAACGAAAAAGAAAGAAAGAAACAACGAAAGGAAGAATGAAAGAAAGGAAACAAAAAATAACGAAAGAATGAACGAAAAAGAAAGAAAGAAACAACGAAAGGAAGAATGAAAGAAAGGAAACAAAAAATAACGAAAGAATGAACGAAAAAGAAAGAAAGAAACAACGAAAGGAAGAATGAAAGAAAGGAAACAAAAAATAACGAAAGAATGAACGAAAAAGAAAGAAAGAAACAACGAAAGGAAGAATGAAAGAAAGGAAACAAAAAATAACGAAAGAATGAACGAAAAAGAAAGAAAGAAACAACGAAAGGAAGAATGAAAGAAAGGAAACAAAAAATAACGAAAGAATGAACGAAAAAGAAAGAAAGAAACAACGAAAGAAAGAATGAAAGAAAGGAAACAAAAAATAACGAAAGAATGAACGAAAAAGAAAGAAAGAAACAACGAAAGAAAGAATGAAAGAAAGGAAACAAAAAAATAACGAAAGAATGAACGAAAAAAAGAAAGAAAGAAACAACGAAAGAAAGAAATGAAAAGAAAGGAAACAAAAAAAACGAAAGAATGAACGAAAAAGAAAGAAAGAAACAACGAAAGAAAGAATGAAAGAAAGGAAACAAAAAATAACGAAAGAATGAACGAAAAAGAAAGAAAGAAACAACGAAAGAAAGAATGAAAGAAAGGAAACAAAAAAACGAAAAATGAACGAAAAAGAAAAGAAAGAAAACGAAAGAAAGAATGAAAGAAAGGAAACAAAAAATAACGAAAGAATGAACGAAAAAGAAAGAAAGAAACAACGAAAGAAAGGAAACAAAAAATAACGAAAGAAAGGAAAAGTAAAGTAGCAAGAAAATATTGAAGACTGACCAAGAAAAGAAAGCGAGAACGAAAGTATCAACGTAGTAATAAACAAAAGAACAAAAGAAAACAAAAAGAGACAATTAAAGAAACATGAAAGAAGGAAAAGAAACTGCAGAAAAAGGACGATAGAAAGACTGACCAAGGAAAGAAAGCAAGAACAGAAGTAACAATGAAGTAATAAACGAAAGAACAAAAAAAGAAAGAAAGAAAGAATACAAGAAAGAATAAAAGGAAGAAAGTAAGAAAGAAAAAAGTAATGGAAACTGTCAAAAAAAGAACGATAGAAAGGAAAAAGTAAAGTAGCAAGAAAATGTTCAAGACTGACCGAGAAAAGAAAGCAAGAACAAAAGTAATAAAGAAAACCTGTTAAAATAAGGACAAAAGAAAGCTAAGAAGACTTGGGCAAGATAAAAACAATATTAAGCATGAAATCGGAAAGATGAAGTAGAAAAATATGGAAAAATGTGGACGAGAGAAAGAAAAATAAATGCCTATTGAAGAAAATATGTGAAAGAGAACAAGGAAATCAGCTGAGGAGAAAATTCAGGAAATGCTGACATTATAATAGAAAGACGTAAGAGAAATAAATAAATAATAGTAAACAGTAAGAGAAAGAAAGAACGAAAGAAATAGGAACGAATAAATATGCAAAAGAAATAAGAAATTAGACAAAAGAAACGAATCGCTTACAAAAATAAGGGAGATCATTTAAAAAAAATGCTTTGAAATGGGCAAAAAGAAGTGAAAAATAGAAAAAAAAAATTGCTGTCCATTCCGTAAGAATAAATATGGACGCCGAACAAAACCCTCCCCTATTGAATATTGCATAATGTAAAAACCTGACATTGGCTATGACCTATCTAAGCGAATCCGCTCTGAAAAAGCCGTGCTATGCAAAGCTGATACAACTTTGCCACCAACCTTACTTCATTTTTCCCCTAGAATTTCTTCAATATTACATTCTGTTTTTTCTTTACCTAATTTTTTTTTTCTATTTCGTTTATACATGCAAATATCTTTTTGGGTTTGGGGATTTTACTTTTCTTTATTTCTTTCAGCCTTCAAGAATAATTTACGATGTTTTTTTTTTATTATTTCAAGAAAGGATTTATTCTAAAAAGGATTTCTTTACTCCCGATCTTGTCTTGCTTTGTTACTTTCTTTGAACTCTGTTTTCTTCATTCTGTTATTAACTTCGTTTTATAAACGTTCCTTTTATCTGTTAAGTCTTTTTCTTCCTTTTTTTACTGCCTCGCAGACTTCCTTTCACTCTATTGCCTCCTCCTCTTTCTCTCTTTTCCACCCTATCGCCCTTGATCGCTCTCTTTTATAGCTTATTTCTTTCTCTCTTTTTCTTCCAAAATCCCTTGAGGTTTCTCCTTTTAGCACTTTTCTTTCTTTCTTTTCCTCCCTAGCTCCCGTGAGCTTTCTCCTTTTAGCTCCTTTCTTTCTACCTTTTCCTCCCTATCTTCCTTGATCTCTCTCATTTTAGCTCTTTCTTTCTACCTTTTCCTCCCTATCTCCCTTGAGCACTCTCCTTTTAACTCTTTCTTCCTCTCTTTTCCTCCCTACCTACCTTGAGCGTTCACCGTTTGCTCTTTTCTTCCGCTTTTTCCTTCCTAGCTTCTTTGAGCTCTCTCCTTGTAGCACTTTTCTTAATCTCTTTTCCTCCTTATCTCCTTGGAGCTCTATCCTTTTGGTACTTTTCTTTTTCTCTTTTCCTCCCTAGCTCCCTTGATTTTTCTCCTTTTAGCTCTTTTCTTTCTCTCTTTTCCTCCTTAACTCCATTGACCTTTCTCCTCTCTTTTCCTTCCCAGCTCTCTTGAGCGTTCACCTTTTAGCTCTTTTCATCCTCCGTTTTCCTCCCTAGCTCCTTTTCTCTCTCTCCTTTTAGATCTTTCCTTTCTGTCTTTTCAGCCTTATCTCAATTGACCTCTCTCCTTTCAGCACTTTTCTTCCTAGCTTTTCTTTCCTATCTCCCTTGAGCTCTCTCCTTTTAGCTTCTTTCTTTCTTTTTTTCTCCTCCCTATCTTCCTTCATCTCTCTACTTTTAGCCCTTTTCTTTCTCTCTTTTCCTCCCTAGCTCCCTTACGCTGTCTCCATTTAGCCCTTTTCTTTCTCTCTTTTCCTCCCTACCTCCTTTTCTCTCTCTCCGATTAGCTCGTTTCTTTCTTTCTTTTCCTCCCTAGTTCTTTTTCGTTCTTTAGACGCAAAGATGCAATACTGCGTAAGGTTCGCTTGATGCAATGGCTAACATCGCGAAGAAAGGAATCCTAGAACAGAGTTTAGATGCAATCGAAGTTTGTCTGGAAAAGATAAGAATCCCTATTACTTCTCATTGACTATGAGTGATAAAATAGATTAAACAGGACCCTGTGTCTAACAAAAGATTTTGATTGAGACTATCCCCCTTTAGGCTTTTTTTTTTACGTTCTTCATTCTGTTATATGGCTTCCATTCATGTCTGTTTATTTATCAGCTAATTTCATCCTGGGTATGATGATAAACTACATCCGGCATCAAGACCGCTGAGCAGAAGATGTTTTGTAGAGCATGGAATAAACCTCTTAAATGTTGTTCCCACGTTCACTGCGAGAATAACTGGTGTAGAATTGGCGGTTGTTTGTAGCTATTTCAACAGGAAACGGATGGGACCTAGATTCCAATTTAGTATCACGCTTAAATTCATGTAGTCGGAGCACCAAGGAAAAAAGCGCTCAGAGCAGTTTCCACGAAAATATTTGTAGAAAAGACAGAAGGAAGCCATGCCACGTAGATGAGAATGTAACTGAAGTTAAGATGCCTGTAAAGGATACCTGTGCTTTTTTATCAAGGAATGTATACCATCATCTGGACTAAGAAGAAACATGGAGGTACACGCAGGAGTCGTAGGACACGCAGATCTAATCAAATCAGTCAAGGTTACAATGTTTATCTGTCATATATACCTGATATATATTAATTCGAATGCTGGTCTCCAGAGATATCTTAGGAGCTATGAATGCCAAAACAAAACGAAAATCATTACAAATGATGTGATGTGTATGTAGGCGACTCTCATCTGACATGTTTGTATGTATTATTACACACAAAATCGGCAACATCGGCAAAGACTAAAAGGACAGCCCGTAAAAGAGAGAAGATAAGTGTTTCATAGTTCGTGTGACAGAGTATGCCTTTCAAATTCAGTTGTCCGTAGCCATCTACAAAATCATGTTGATATTCTACCAATAGATTATAACATCATCAAAGATACAGGGACTTTTAAATCTGCAAAATGCGAAAGGGAATATGCTGGGAAGTAAAGCTGCTCGTGATTTTTCCAAATATTTGAGACCCCCAAAGACACGGCCAACAGCACATCCGGGATATTGATGGATGAGATGGTATGTATTGTGTCCCTTCCGGATTTTGACGCTCATGGTTGTCCACAATTTTCTTTCCTTTGTAGCTTTTAATAAATCTTGTCTAAAACTTCTTCCGCTATGAATTTATTCAAACTCATTAGGTAAGTTATGCGTTGTTCTACCCGTCCCTCTTACCTACAATTCACCCTATGAGTATAAGGCATACCAAAACGTCCTTCTTCATTATCTGCCCCATAAATTTAACTGTTTCTTTCTGATGTTAAGTATAAGTGTATTTTTGCTTCGAGTTTCACTAAAACTTCGGCTTTGCTCGCATGCTCAGTCAATGGCATTCTCAATGACTTTCTGTTCAAAGACATTTCTGTTCTTCCCAGTTCCTTCTTCATCTGGGAGATTATCCAATATTCACTGCCATATAGGAGGACTTCTTAGTGCTTTGCTTAGCTTTTGGAAGGCTTCTTTCGCTATTTTACCCACTTCATGTCAGCGGGACCCGTTTGCCGCAGATGGTGCCTTATAGGGTGAACTGGTATTACATAACAGTTCGGTACTCTTCTTTGTTTCAAACGTAAGTTTTGTGTATCTGTCTAGATTTCTGAGATGGTGTAATATGTACACTATTTACATTATTCAGACTATTGTCCTCGTCTTTGTCGCCATAGTTGCCGATACAACGTTTCGACCCTTGTACGCCCCGGCTTTCTTCAGGTGGTTGGAATGTCGAACTTAACCCTTTATTTCGCTCACTGGGGTAGACTGTTCTAGTTTAATGGATGTCAGTTATCAGTTATCTCCTGTTAATTCCCCTCTCCACGTTCTCCACTGCCTTAACCGGATATTGAACTCACACCCTTTCGGTCCTGTCACTGGATCTAACCAACGCCTTTATCCACTTTGTCATGTGTACTTGAGTACAAATGGCACAGTGTATCCAATATTCACTGCCATATAAGAGGACTTCTTAGTGCTTTGCTTAGCCTGTGGAAGGCTTCTTTCGCTATCTTTCCTCTTCTTGTCATCGAGAAAGGTTTGCCGGACAATGTGCCTTATAGGGGGACTGGTATTACATGACATTTCAGTACTCTTTTCTTTCTTTCAAGCGTAAGTTTTCTGTTTCTTAGTGCTTTGCTTGGTTTTTGGAGGCCTTCTTTCCTTATTTTTGGGAAATAGTTCCGTTCCTTTTGCATCCATTGATACAGTGTAATAATTTCGACTTCCTGTCAGCGGGAAACATTTGCTGGAAAAGGTGCCTAATAGCAGGGACTGGTATTACATAACAGCTTAGTACTCTTTTCTTTGTTTTAAAAGTAAGTTTTCTGTTTCTCAATATTTTTCTTAATTTTTGGAAAACATTTTTTCACTATGCGCCATCGGACTTCAGTGTCGCAATCTGTAAGGTGGAAGATTTACGGAAAATGTTAGTAGAATGTTCCACAGAAAGGTGAAAAGAATACCCAGGACAATCTTGGAGAAACGATGATGAAAACCTTAGCCCGAGAAGGCGCAGTGTGTCACATTCCTAGAGGTTACGCTTATAAACAATTTGAATTGCCTCCGCTAGCTTTAATCTCACGCAAAATAATTGCAACAAATATCATTGATTACAAAGAATTTGGGAGAAAACTGTTATTTTCAGATCCATTGGGAGGATGACCCGTTGAACTTGGCAGATATCGCTTATTTTAAAGACGTAAAGTGTACCGTTTTGGCAGTCATATTAGAAAGGCTTAAAGAAGAGAAAAAAAACATTCCTTTTGTTTTTTGCAAAATTCACCTTCTGAGAATGCTGAGAAAATAGGCAATAACCTTCAGTGAAGACAATGATAGGTTCTATAAATATCAAAGTAAGAACATTATCTTTCATTTGTTTACTGCGAAACAATATACCGAAATATATCTTCAGTTAATTGAGTGATTTTATTCTGACATTTAAGATTTTATTAAATATTTTAATAATTTATTTCTTCTTAAAATCTCTTTTTTTCTACAAAATTAACTTTACCGTGTATAATTTCTATCTATCTATCTATCTATCTATCTATCTATCTATCTATCTATCTATCTATCTATGTGTATGTGTCTGTGTGTTTGTGTATCTGTGTGTGTGCTTATATATATATATATATATATATATATATATATATATATATATATATATATAAAACTGGTCTCTCCAGGTGGTTTGTTCAGCGAGTCAATCAGAAGCAACGCACGAACTTAAATGCCTTCATTCGACACCGGAAGTGATGGGGTGGTAGTTATAGTCGGGAAAAATATAAAACAATAAAATAATGAAAAATAAAATTAAATTAAAGTAAATGTGGGAAAAATTTACAACTT